AAATGGAATCTGCCTGAGTTTTCCTTTTAGAATCGCGTTGTGGGCGAACGTTGGATAGAGAAAATGGAATCTGCCTGGAATTTCCACTTAGAATCTCGCTTCTGGAACATTACACCTCCGATCCGAATCTTCATAGATTTCCCAATCAGAATCACATCGTTCGTTCGGGAGTAAATTCCAAGCAGATCCCAACGAATTTTCCGTAGGGGTACTTCGAAATATGTCGAATCTGAATCGCCTCTCCTCCCGGATCGCCTCGAAGCGACGTGCTAAGTCGCACGAGAGACACAAGGCCGCCGGTTATTTATTATAATCGGTGTCCCGCGAGCGACGCTGCCTCCGTATAAATCGTGGGTGTCGGCCGGCCAATTATAATGCCCGTATTTTGGGAATCCAAGTATTGCGCACACGCGGTGGCCAACTTCGACGTTGTGTATCGCGACGCGGCGCGACACGACGCTACGTCGCTGCGCGTGCCGCTTCATTTTTCTCGCGGCAGCCGTGCACGAATTTGGCAGTCGCGGGCAGAACGCGTTGCAAAACGCACACGTGAATCACAAACCGTTATAAACGGCACTGCGGAACGTTCTCCGGGATAATCGCCAGATTTTTCTCGCTTTACCCAGAGTCGAAATTTTGGACCTACGTTGAATCTTGAATTCTATCACACGGCCAGGGGCTGAGATAACAAAATACGCCCTATTTCGATTCTGACAATTTGCTCCTATTTTCATCTCGATGACGTCTTAAATCTCCATTTTCGGTGTTTCAGCGTCGAAATAGATTGTGCAAGACAGCGTTAAAATTAAATACACACATTGAAACAAACACGCTACCGTTCGAGTAATATTTACTTGATCGAAGTGAAATGATTGTATATACTGCAATACTCTTTGGCAAATATTTACTGGAAGAAGAAATATAAAATTGACTATATATTTCCTCCGTACAAGTAAATATTTACTTGAATGTGCCGAAACAATTGCGACGAAGTATTACAATTCATAATATCGAGAATATCAGAATTTATTTTTAGAAAATATCCACTAAACAGAAGAATCTAAATTTAAAATCACGAAGTTCCTTTAATGGAACAAAAAAGCACTATATAATTTTAACGAATATTCTCTGAAATTTAGAACTATTTTACGCTTACATTCAGTAATTTATTAACAAATAAAAATATTATTGCGTTCGAGGAAGTATTTACTACGAGCTGTTGAAATATACACAAATTGATAAAAGATATCCCATGATTTTCAAGCTCTCAAATCAGGTAATTACGTTTACTTGATTTTAGCACTTTGTTTTCTGCGAGAAATAGAATAAGAAGTTCCGGAGAGAAGTTAATAAGTGGCAGTATCGTCGAAATAAGCTTTTATTAGTCCATAGGCCATCTAAGTAGGCGCAAACCGAGCTTAAGGGTCTGAAAGTAGCCCCTGAATTTCATCTGAGGGACGGAAGATAGCTCTGAGAGGTGCGAGTAAAGATACGCTCGTGATATTATTCAACCCACGGCAAGTAAGAATGAATCTGACCTAAATGCGAGCGATTCGCAGGACGCACGGGAAGAACTTGGACTTAATTACGGTAACGAAGAATTACCGAGTAATATCGGTACAATGTCGAGGGTGGGGATGAACGAGTGACTGGGGGGAAGAAAAGGAGGGACAGAGAGAGAGAGAGAGAGAGAGAGAGAAAGAAGAAGACTGAAGCGATTTTGCTCGAACAGGATTTACCGCGTATTTACGCGGGATCTAGGATTTTATAAGACGCGACATTATATTTATTTCCTCCGTCCGCGTAATCGTACACCGATAGACGAAGTGATTCGTCCGAAGACGAAGTGATTCGTCTTCATTACCGTAAATATGATTTTATCGTGCTGACGCACACACACATATACACGCACGCACGTGGTTTACCGGAATGATATTCCTTATTAACGCAGGATCCACACAATTCTCTTCGTGAAAGTAACGATAATACAATAATAAGCGATCTTCGAGAGCGATTATTTCGAGATTTTCTTGCCCATCTTCGCTCGCTCTCTCTCTCTCTCTCTCTCTCTCTCTCTCGAGCGTTCCATTCCCTCTTCGCGATATTTCACTCGTGAGCGCGAATCGACGTGTCGGGAAATTCATCGGAGAGACGCGGAAAAGAATTCCCCCCGTTAGACGAATGAGATTAGTGATTGAAAGCTCGATATCGAAATTTCCGTACGGAAAGCCCCGGTGTATCCAGGCCGCAGCCTTGATCACGAGGAGGCGCCGATATTTCGTAAGAAATCGCCGACGAGACAGGGCGACTCGATATGCGACTTCTTTGTCGTCGGGCGGACTAATGTAACGTTTGCGAAAGATCGACCCCGTTCCGAAATAATAGTAATATCGACGCGCGACGTACGGCCGTCCTTCCACCGGGAGAGCTCTCGTCGATCGCTCGCACCGTCATCGTCATCGCAACGAGGATAATTCGGAAAACGAGCGCACGTTGTCGCGCGACTTCGCTCGGCGCGAACCTCGAAATCGCGAGATTCCCGCCGAGCGAATTTCACTCGTAACCCACATAGAATATTTCTTAGCATCTAATTGGAGGGGAGGATCTCCCAAAATAATTGTGAATTCCAATTGGGAAATCTCCGCAGACTCTGCTCGGGAGTGTAATGTTTCGAGCACGCGATTTTCAGTACACCGAGGAAAATTCCCGCCGGATAAACCGATTGGACCGATGCCGTCCGAGCGTTGTTTTTGTTATCCGATCGAGTAATGGACACTTTTGTCCGACCGATGAAACCTAATCGGAAAATTATTCGCCTTTCGTGCATCCGTTGTAATTTTCCAAACATAAAGGCACGACTTGATCGGACAATTTTTCTCAGCGTAGGAAACAAACAGAAGGCATTTACTCGTCGCCCCGGGATTTCTCAAGAATTTCTTTCGCTTTCTCTTCCTTTCATACGGGAATCTACGGTGCCTGGGAAAATCGTAAGAAATTTTTATCCAGGAAGGATAGAAATGTGACATCATGCTCGCTGATAAGGCTGTTACGCGGCGAGTGCGACGCGCGGGAAGCGCGGTTGATGAAAATAAAGGGAAAAATAATTAATCGATACGCGCAAAGGGAAGCAACCACGGAGCCGGACGTGTAAAAAGGTTCCAGCGGGACACCAAAGGGCTGTGTCGATCGCGTGCCGCTTCATCGAGCAGCAAACGGGAAGATTGCCCTCTGCTCCTCAAATTGGTTTGCATAACAAGAATGGAAAAAAAGCGACGGGTCTATTTGAGGATGCGAATAACGCCGGTGCAAACAACACCGAGATTTACAAGCGGATCTTTAATCTTTAATAGACGCGTCGCCGAATGTCGCGCGCGACGTTCGACTGGCCGCGTAGACAATTTTTTGGGATCTGATTGGAATCTATTCCGATTCCCCGAACAAGCGATGGATCCTGATTGGGAAATCTGTGAAGATTCGGAGGTGTGATGTTTCAAGAGGGAGGATTCTAAGTGGGAACTCCGGACCAGATTCCATTTTCTCCATCCAACGTTCGCCCAAAGTGCGATGCTAAAGGGAAAACCCGGGCAGATTCCACTTCTTCTCTGTCCGTTTACCCGAAGTTTACCTTTTTCCTTTTCAGGTTTCCGTTTTATATTCATATCGGACAAAATACATGAGAAGCTTCGAGCATTTGCACATACTTGACAAATGTAAATAAAAGAAAGCGTGTATCTACTCAAGCCGTTTCAATTATTTTCATCAACTGCCTTTCGAAATCATTTATAAATGTTTCTAATATATATACGTAACAATGTGTATTATATTTTTATTATGAATATGAAACTCTTAAGTCGATTAAGTCAAACGTTTAATTACATATCTCTACAACTTTTTACAACGATTTTATAACTATATGTAGACATATATTAATTTTTGTGCGACAGCCATCCCTCTTGCGTTTCACGCGTTTGAAAAAACCTGCTCTTAACGCGGTATGACAAATATTTTCACTTATGGGCTCACCTTGGACGTTCACACGTGCCACCCATTATGATAAAACTGTGGGAAAACATCGGGCGGATAAAATGGCGCCTACATTTCCCAGATAGAGAATCTCAAATAGAATCTAATCGGGATCTATTCCGATTAATTAGCCGAATGAAGTTGCGTTTCTAAATGGGAGACCCAGCCAGATCTCATTTGTCTTGCCTAACATTTTCTTAACGTTTCCTTATAAATATATATAAACAGGGGTAAGAATGGGATTTCCGATTGGTATCGCAATATCTTAGACTCGTTCGGGACAAGTTTGAATAATCTGATCAGAATCTACGCTGCATTTGGGGGACGTTTGCGAAATTTCCGTGGGTGATTGCGAAAGGTGTTATTGTTAACAACAATCGCACCGGCTACCGGTAAAGACGCGGGCCAAGCGATGCTGCCATCCGTGAACGCCCGACGAATTCGCGGTCACGTGGCCGAGTGTATTATCGTCCGCGGCAAAGCCGGCAGTCCCGAACGCGGCCGCCGAGCTTTCGCGCGAGTTACACGAGTTTCGGGTGTTCGACGACTCAGAGAGCGGTCGGAAAGACCCTCATCGTGATAACGTCACCCGGTGCAGAGTCGCTTTCGTTCCCGCTGTAACCGGCGAATCCGATCGGCCGCGCTACATCAGATTGGCGTACGGTCGGCCACAGGACGATTGCGACGGTTTTTCTCTTCGATGCTTCCGAACGAAACGCGAAAAATACGACGAGGCGAATCTATGATTGACGAATGCGCGATAGACGGTCAGACGACACTCTTTTTGCAGTCGATATGAAAGAAGTATGTAATGCCGAATACGCGCTTCGTCGATAGCAATTACCGTTCGTTACTAGTCTCGGATTTTTCGAGACGCGAATGTCAAGTTTCAAGTCAGAACTGAACGGGAAAGTATTGAAAATGCTTATCGAAGATGGGAGTGAGACTAAAGCTGCCGAATTGATTTACATGTGCGTAATATATTTGGCTAATTAACACGGCGAAATCATGATTAAGTATTTAATCGTTCGAAACGCTCACACGCCTGTTTGATTTAAACAGTCGCTTCATATATAGTAGCCTTCAGCCAGCACTAATCCGGTATAGTGCGGATGAGCGAATCGGCCGTAAGGAAAAATCGTTCCGCGAAATCCTCGATCGGCGAGCACTGATAGATTCCACTGAATCGACTTCTAGGTTGTTTTCACAGTCGGATCTTATATTTAAGAACATTGTAAGTTCACTTTCCGACGCTGCAGAGGTCGTTTCATTGGCTACGAAGGCATCTGAAGGTGAACCTAAGACGACTTCGACCCGTTTCAGGTCGTTTGATATTTCAGCTCTAAAATGAAACGCAGCCATGAAATACTTCCATAATTATTACGAGGCGCGCTCGACGAATGAAACTTGGCTCGGTGGTGACGGGACACGTGAAATTCGCCCGGCGTCGCACGTGTTAAATATAAGATCGGTCTGTAAATAACATCGGTGGGAGACTTTTACAATGCGAGCCGTGAAATGAAGCCTCCTCGCGGGCGGAAAATACGAAAATACAGCCGCGTTTCACGGAGAGAGAGACCCCCCCCTCTCCGGCGCAAAAAGGCAAAGAGTCAAGTGAAAATTCAATCGACTTTGAATCGCGGGGGGTTTACGTATATTTTTCTCGGCGGGAAGCCTCGTCGTTAAATATGGGACACGCTATCTCCGCGGGACAAGGGGATTTTTTCGCGCTCCTCGTAGAGAAATAGATGAGCGCGGGTGTCGAGGAGATTTAATGGCGGTGTTAAGCTGCGAAAAAATAAAGGTGAGAGACGCGGTGGCGAACGCGCACCAGGCGTTAGGATGCAAATGAAAGTGGGAATAAAGTGGAGTGACGCGAGAAGAGAAGAACGAAAGAGGCGAGCCAGCTAACGTTGTCGTGTGTGCACGAAGAGAGAGAGAGAGAGAGAGAAAGGGAACTACCGTGGCTCTACTCCGCGGTTTCTAAGGACGAGATCTAGTCGCTTCTAATAGGATAGATAAACACAACGGATCTTCGCTCCGAAATGCTCGGCAAATGTTGCGATCTCCCCTCGGCAAGAAAGTCAAACGTCGTGCCATTTGTTCCGTCGCGGTGGTACACGTGGTACACGATTTGCCAATGGCAAATATATTTCATTGGTCGAGAAAAAGAGAGAAAGAGAGAGAGAGAGAGATGCCGGCTTACATTTTACGATTCTCCAAACGCGCCGATTGTGTATTCGCGAGAATCTGCGAGAGGTTACAGCGGACCTATTTCTTTACGGTCTCTCTCTCTCTTTCTTTCTCCCTCTCTGTTTTCACTATGTAATGCTATAATATTATCGCGATTTCTCACTTCTCCTTCCCGTGAATATGTTATATAAGTCGCCGGTTATCCGTTCTATTCGTAAAACAACCAACTCCCCGGGCAACTCGGAAGAATTCACGACAGAATCCGGAGCGCGGCTCGCAGGACGGAAACGATCGAGAAATCGAAATGATAGGCGGAAAATGAAGATAATGGGGATGATGAATACACTAAACGTTTCACGGACACGCGATTTCCCAGCGTGTGTGTGCGTGTGTGTGATGCAGAGTCGCGCGTGCCACGGAGAGAAGGAGCTTTCGACTTGGAGTCTGCGATTCGTTGATTATTCTCGGAGGACTGGGGCAACCAGGAAAGGCTCATCTCAGCGGGCGCGTCGCCTTCGTCTTATTAGAGACCTCTTCTGCGCGCCGAGAGATGCAATCTCGTCCGACCGCGCGTTTCCATCCCCGCGATGAATGGGCGGCGCGAGCGGTAGGAATCTCCTCCGCAGGCTCGACGGCTCGCAAGCTCGCAAGCTCGCGCGCTACGCGAACGTCTCTCTCTCTCTCTCTCTCTCCCTCTCTGTGTTACACGAAAAGCCACTCTCCGTGCGACCCATTATGCAAATTATGCCTACCGGCGGCGAAACGTATGCATTTCCACCGTCGAGAAATGGAACTCGTACTTGGCGCAAGCGCTCCGGCAAGGTGAACAACGCGATAACGGAAAGAAGTGACGGAAGGAAGCGAGAGACCTCCCGAAATTTTGGTCTTGTGTTGAAACCTTGGCTAAATCTGAACAACATTGGTGCGATCGATAAATCGAAACATATATGGTTTTAAGCAATCGGCAACATGCAAAACAAATGAACAGCGATTCGTAGCTATGTCAAAAGAAGTGACGATCGCTCCAAGTGTTAGAGGATTGTTCTTTCGCAGCTAGTCTTTCGATTCTAGTCGATCGGCGGATCTTAGCGGTGTAAACGCTATTGTGAGCTGAGGAAAAGGAAAAAAATGTTATCTGACACAGATTTTTCTTCGGATAAAGAAATTCAAGATGTAGATGGTACATATGCTTCTTACAGCCGGTCATTGGTTTATTATTTATCAATTTTACACGTGTTCTCTAATTGTATTCGTTTATTTGTCTACTCGTTGGTTTCGTATTATGCCGTATTTTATATTATTTTGTTTCATATTACATGGTCATAGGTGATGTATCACCGTTATTTCGTCGACGTGTCGTGAGACGAATCTCGTCAGAATCATCGGACGATGAGAATATTAATTTATATACGCGGAGAAGAGAACAATGTTTGCAAGCACACGTAAACGAGAAGAGAAGTATGTTTTCTATTCCTTTATTAATCCTCTTGATATAATTTATGCTCTGAAAAAATCGATTATATCTATGTTTGACTTTGTTCCAGCTCAAAATGCACCATGACTTTGATGGTCTCAGAAAGTGAAGCTCTCACAGAAAAGTTAACTTTTATGGTGTTTAATAACAGAGCAAAAAATGAACTTCACGATAAAAGTTTTTTGAATACGCTAGGTTCAATAGTTACTTAGATATCAACATTTGTATAAGGAGAAAATCAACCAAACAAGCGCGGCTACTTTCGTATTATGCCTTCGAGAAGTTCGAACACATTGGTCAAGCGTTTTCGGGTGGGACCGCAAAGTGTTGAACCATCGATTCTACGACGTAGTAGAAGCTAAGATAGTAAGATAGTGAAATAGGTTCAATTTCGATTTTAAATAATATAATGTAACCCCTACTTTGACCAGATGATGTCTTAAATTTCCGTTTTCGCTGTTTTAGCGTTAAAACAGGACGACGGGGGTAGCGTTAAAATTCAATCCGCCGAATTAAAGGCGAGGAAATCGAGTCGACAGTCACGCCAGGCCGGTTTTCGGATGTAGGGAGAACTTGGGCCAATCAAAATCCGGATAATTGGTTAATATCCGGGAATATGCCGAGGCGCGCGACAACTCGATCGAACCCGCCCGGGGCGAGTCCGTCCTCCTCGTAATTCACTGCAGTTAGCTCTTCGCTTGCGATCAAACTTGTATCCGCCTTGAAAAGTTTCGCGCCGGCTGCGAGGGTGCCATTTTTCCCGAGGATCGAACGGAAGCCGATGGAGCGTATCGGCCGCACCCGAATTGAATCAACCCCGTCCCGCGCGTTACGTCATCCGGCGAACGCGAAAACAATGAGATCAAGGCGAAATATCAGGTGTATAAATTATCATGTGCCGGAAAAAGCTCCTGCGGATTCTCAGGTCTAAATCGGAAACACTCGGAACTTTTCAAAAAAGTAGTAGCATGGAATTCATTTGTAAACCTATTAATACGTACGAAACTGTGCGGAATTGGGCGAAGAAGGCGGGGTGGGAGGTGGGGGACATTTTTTCGCGATTGTTGGAGAAAATGCCACAGCCGATGACGGACTTCATAAGCGTCGATAATGTAAAGGCGATTCTCAACATGTTGTGACGCAATGTGTTACGTGAACATTGACACGATCCGGCTACTCTTTTTGTGTTTTTTCGTACGTATTGAGATTATGTAAATGTGCCATATAAATGTTAATGGCGATGAATATATTGTGCTATTCTTTTCTACCATGCCTACACTTAGAAAATTCATATTAATTTTAATAATCTAGTTCTTCTGCATAATAAGTGTTTTTACATAACTGAGTTATGAAAATTGATATTGCAATCAATAGCGCACAATTATAAAAATACATTCTAAATCTAATATTCACAACAGTATTGTAATAACTTATAATCCAGATTATTAATTCTTACAATAAGGTTTCTTCGATTTAATAACGCTGTTAATAATTTTTATTCTATCGTTTTTAAATTATTACAGCATCATTATGGGAAAAGGATTTAGAATATGTCTTCGCAATTACTCGTTACTAAGTAACGTAATATCATTTTGGTAATTAGTTTTCATAACTTAGTTATGTAAAAAAAATAACTTTAATAAAATTATGCAATAAAAATAAACTTAGTTATGTGTAAACTAAACAGTAAATTACCTAATAGAAGACAAAAAAATATTAAATTACATACTTTTGTTCTTAGATTTTACAGTGAATATGAAATGTCATAACTATTTTATAATTAATAATATTGATATTATGAAAATTTTCAAAGTTATAAAATTTAATATAAAATTCTTCAATTTACCGGCAGAAACGCTATTATTTTCAAGAACTTTTCTAATAGCGTAACGGAAAATCTAATCGAGCTATGTAAAAATTTCTCTACAGACCTTTCGTATGTCTTTGTGTCTTTCAATTTGATCGAAAAAGTATAAAAATATGCTTCGAATGTTTCCTTTGACACATTCGTTGAATATAAGTTATGCGGGATTACCGTATCAGACAAGTATTTACGTTAACTGACGGCTAAAGACTTTGAGATTTTGAAATTTTTTATCGTTTCCGTCACATATACAATGAACAATGCTCCGATTGATCTTCGCTCATGGTTTTACTATGTAGCGTTCATATATAATTCTGTGCAACCAATACGACGATAAAGTTTGCAGAAAAAGTCGGTATTTCCGGAAAAGGTTCTAAATACGACATCCCCTTAAAACGTTTCGCGAAACAGTAAGTCTCTCTCTCCCTCTCTCTCTTTCTCAACCGAGCCACGCGACAAACGATCGCATTGTTGCTAACGAGTGCAGCTAAATCGCTCCGTTTAAGTAAGATTAAGCGATACCGCAGCGCCAACAAACGTCAAAGGCTTTTATTGGTATTATCGGTGAACCGATTTGCGCCACAAATACCGTTAATATCATAATAGTGCCCGCGGTAATTGCGTGCTCGGTACACAACGGTCAGTAACAAAGGTGGACTCGTATCGACATGTAGTACCGACGTAGTTAACCCTTTCAACGCTTGCCGTTGTTGAACGACGTCAAAGGAGCGCACGAGTGTGACGTGGGCGCGTTTGCAGCCGGCGAGAGCCGCGGCTTTTCCAGCCCGGTCAGCGGTTTTGCACGCGAAATCGTTTCGGATTTTCGAAGAAAGAGAAAGAGAGAGAGAGAGAAAAGCGTTTACAACCGTCCTCCTTGCCCTCTAAGGACAAGAAGATAGTAAATTCACGAATAGATAATAATAATGTAAATTCTAGAAAAATTGCAATAAGTACTAATGAGTGAAGAATCAAAGCAAAGATTAATTCGTAAGTGGACGCGTGAGGGTCAAACTGATCCAGCTCAGCGCATGATCAAACGAATGCTTCACCATTTCGTTTTTGTCCGCGATGCCAGCGCTCTCAGAATCTTTATTACATCGTTTACTCTTGGATGGCAAAATAGCGTCTATAAAACTCCAGAATCTGAGCTACGAATAGCAGTTGTTCCACTTCTTGGGTTACTTTGACTTTCACGCGAACACACATATAACTTTTTATGGCTTATTTCAACGTGTTGTTTCACACTTAATTTATGGTGTTCGTAAATTATTTTTATCAAATAATAATTAATTAATAATGGTAAGTTTAGTCTATAGTTAATATAAGTAACAAATATTACGATTTTACTTCAAGTTTAAAACTGTAATCTCTTTGGTATTTTTAAAAGTTTTATACACAGAAGTAAGAAAATGAGTGATGAAAAAAGAGATACAGAAAATTCGGCGCATTGTTACGTTGGAAACATTTCTTCAGATTCTTCATATGAAATGAAATTTTATTGCATTATATATATATATATATATATAATGAATTATAAAAAATTCATTTTTGTTTTAGTACTTTGATTTTTCTTACTTTATATTATTTTTAAATATTTGTAATATGTTTCGTTTTGAAAAGTGTATAGGCATAATAATAATAATTTTCAATTCTTTCTAATAATAATAATGTTTGTTTATATCTTAAATTATTTTTCAATAATAAATATGCACGTAGATTTCATCTAAATTATTTCTGTAACAATTTGTTTGAAAGAAATTAATATGCAAAGAATCAAAAATATGTATTTATATAAAAGATATGTGATATTATTATACCAATTTCAGAAGTATTTTTAGCTTTAAACAGTCATAATATTTAAATGATATTTATATATTCTGTATGATTACACCTTAAAATGAGTACAATAATAATTAAAATTTATTTGAAATGTTCGTATTTAGTGTGTAACTTGCAAGCTTTACTTTATCTAAATATATCATGTTAAAAAAACATTTTGAAAAATATAGATTTCTTTTAATTCATAATGCTCAATAAATTATTTCATATTTAAAACATGCCTTAGATTATAATTACTTACAAATATAAATGGAAGATTTTATTTACACTTAAAGTATAAATAAATTAAAATGTGGGTCAAATTAACTTCCGCGCGAACACTTACGTCGAAAACTTCACATGTTTACGCATGTATTAAGGATAATGGATTAATGGAAAGACACCAAAGTCGACATACCATTTCAGTTTGTAGGCTCGAAAGTCCTGTGTGTGTTGAAAGTGTAAAATAACAATTTATACGCACCAAATTGATACAAACCAAAAGCTTTTTCCTAACAAAATGTATGATAGTCATGGAAATTATTACATTATCCTTGCGAATAACTATTTTTCAAAATGTTGAATTGACACTTTTAGAAACTAGAATCTGAAAACCGACATACCAAAACAAGAAAAACGAGGGAGAACTGTCACTAGTAGCTTCAACTATATTCCGTAAGATAATATTTCACAACAAGGATCAGGTATGTCGGTCGAGAGATCAATAAACACGTACGTATGTTTACCGAAAAACTTAACCCTGACTTTTGCTGCGTGATTCAGTGACAGAGGGCAGAGATTTAAGGTAAGTTGAAAAAATTCCCTTTATGAAAACCCACATTTTAAAACAACATTGTCAAATAAATCACTCACGGGTCTGTTATTTTAATTTTCACGAGGAAACAGCTCGACGAAAAATTCAACGACTAATAATACAACCGAACGCGCGTGCAAACAAAAACTACCACCGCTACATCAGCTCCCACCGTATATAACAGACGAAATTACGTTTTGCCCGGAGTTCGGTATTTTACAGCCGGGAAACATGGATAGGTCGGTTTACCATACCCGTCTTGATGCTTCGCCCCTGATACATGATGTGAAAAAAGAGAGAAGAGGGAAAGAAAGATAAAAGGAGAAACGCGCGAAGTGATCTCAGGACAAAGTTGCGGGGAAACTACAGGGTCGTCCAGTGTCGAGCCGATTTAGGCAAGCCGCCAATCCGCGTCACGCTTACCTCCAAGGACACACCGTGGATTTTGGTGAAGGCAGCCAAGGGATGAGCGCAGAGGGAGGGAGGGAGAGAGGGAGAGAATAGGGATGCAGGAATGCCTGTGTCGCGCGGGTTAGTCGGTGGCGAGAGTAGGGGTAGGTTTAGTTATGCGACGGGGTAGTTTCGCGGAGGGGTGGGGCGTAAAGGTACATTTCGGGGTCGGTCGATACGGCTGTCCGTCGAAGCGCCATCGCCACGTGCTTCGCACCGGTTTGTGTGTTTCCGCAATCGATCTCGCGGGAACGCTTCCGACTCGAAAGCTCTCGCTCGTTCTCCTTCCTTTGGAGTGTTTTTCACAAAGAGAGAAAGAGAAAGAGAGAGAGAGAGAGAGAGGGAGAGACTATTCTATCGGCACGGGTATGTGATTCCGCGGCGGAACTCCTCTCGGATTCTGTTTGCGATTTTGCGCGCGGTGTGACGCGTGCGGATGCGTCTGCAATTCCTCGAAACATTCTCCGCAAGCGGATGCGCGCCCGAACGGCGGATCGTCCAAATTGATTCGTCGGCGACGATGTTATCGGCGACAATTTTAACCGCCGGGGCGCGCAGAATTCTGTGGGAAAATTCTGTCCGCACGAGCGATCCTTGTCTCTCAGAGTCGATCGCGCGGAAAATGCCTTCGACTGGAACCTTTTCTTCGCGAATACGTCGTTGCCAAGCGCGTTGAAAATTTCTCAGGATCCTTATTCGGATCCAGTCCAGTTTCTCAATGTAACGGTAGATTCCAGTTGGGGAATCTACGCGGGTTCTGGTTAGAAGTGTGACGTTCCAAGCGATTCTAGGTGGGGAATGCGAACAGATCGTATTTTGGTTGCCTCGAACGTTCCCCTAAAGACTTGTCCCGCTTTTCATTTTACAAAATATACGAAGTATCTTTAATATTTGCATTTTATAAGCACGACGTTACGCGCGCGCTATTAAGCGCGAAAGACGGATCGTGACCAGAGTGACGGTGGACGGTGACGGTTAAACAAAGTCAAGTAAAAGCTACGCGCGTGCTATTAGAGTAAATGAAAGTAAAGTAAAAAGAACAGTAAACGAAAAGCGTACCAAGATACACCATTTTATTTTTAGGCACTAAAACCTTGATAAAAAAAAGTGTAGAATTAAAATTGATGGGCATGGAGACAAAAAGCGGCAACATTTCTCTATCAAAATACATTGCAGTTTTCTGAAGATTATTACACACATTATACACACGGGTAAATAATTATTTTTACAAAATTGGAAAAATGACGCTTCGAGAAAGTAGACGTCAAAAC